AAATAGGTATTAGTTTGCACTGATTATCATGAAATTTCTGTAAGGGATTGCACTGTATTCTTATATACATAACGGCAATTTTGAAAAAGTTTATTTCATAAAATTAGGATTAATTTATTTATTCCGACAAAACTGACTCTGTTAACTGTAACAAGGTTATATCCTGAAGTGGAATCAATGGCTACGTTCAGCAGACTCAACAGTTGAGTGAGCGCTCGCTATTATTGGTGTATCCTTCCAGATCTAAAATTCTGACTGGATGATCTAAAAGAATACACCAATAACAGCGAGCGCTCACTCAACTGTTGAGTCTGCTAAACGCGCCCAATCACTTTTTCCTTCTTCCTTACACGGTTGCTTTCCATCTACGACACAGCAATCACCTCGTCTTTATTTAACATTAGCGAACGACGAGGATGCAACGATTGCCGTATCACACCGTGTCACTTCTGTGTCTCTTGTTGGATAATAATCTTATGCGTAGATATTATTTTTTACATTAAAATAATCCAGATGACTTATGAACGTACTTCTTATATCGTACATATATTTAAAATGTAAATATTCTAAAGCGCCAACCGAAAATTAGCAACCATAACCAAGAGTGTCCAACTATGCTTTTCTGCTGTGTCGAATCGTGTCGTGGCGTGTCGTTGTTGGAAAGCACCGCGTTCGACACTGTGTCGATGTGTGTCGTCTAAAAGCCTTGATGGAAAGCAGCCTAAGCTGCTGTGTCGAATCGTGCCGAGGCGTGTCGTTGTTGGAAAGCACCGCGTTCGACACTGTGTCGATGTGTGTCGCCTAAAAGCACAGTATATTGCTAAAAGCCTTGATCGAAAGCAGCCACATATATGTTATTTATCCTTCTATTTATCATTGATGGAGGGGATGAATCCGACGCATGCGCACAACGTTCAAAGTACATTGAGAAAGAGAGAGAAGTATATTCCCGCACCGTGGTTCTGGGACATGGACTTCTCTCTCATCTAGCCATATAGTGGCTGTTTTCCAGCTAGGACACAGAAACGTTACACTGTGCTCCACTGTGTAAAGACTTGTTGGAACGATAGAGCTCTAATTGGTAACACTGGCATACTCTACACGTTCGTACTTAGCTTTTTACAGTGTCGAGCAGTGTAACACTGTGTCACAGTTGGAACACTTTGTGTAAGACACAGTGTTACACTGTGTCATCTGTGTACGTTGTTGGAAAACACCCAGTAGTATTACATATATGGTGACTAGTGACCCTCTAATAAGGGTGCCGTCCCATTAAGCACGGATCGGAAAGACGGATCGGGTATCTCACTAGAATTGAGCATTCCGTTCCAGTTCCGTTCCGTGACAGTTTTCTCTACCCGTCCCATTCAGCAAAAACGGAAAGGAATCTAGTTACAAAATATATTTTACCGTTACAATTCAATATTTTAGAGAACTCACAACAATATTATCAGCAAGATAATTGCACAAATTATATGTATATTATTGCTTCAACTGCTCAATATAACGAAATATCGATGAATCAAGCATATTTATCAACGATCGACGCGACATTCCGTTCCGTTTTTGCTAAATGGGACGGGTAGAGAAAACTGTCACGGAACGGAACTGGAACGGAATGCTCAATTCTAGTGAGATACCCGATCCGTCATTCCGATCCGTGCTTAATGGGACGGCACCCTAATGGGCCTTCTACAATAAGCCGTAAGTCACAAATCATAAGTCATAAGCTAGAAATGGACCAATCACAGTCGTCAATTTTTAGTTTCTTACTTCCGATTTATGACTTATAGCTTATTGTAGAAGGCCCAGCCCACAGGCACCAAAATCCGATTAAGCTAGGGAGTTTTTTTGAAATGCACCAACTGAGTACCACTGTTCGATCGGATTGGAAATCCGACCATTTGTCGTAAACACCCATATATGGGTTAATATTAGGTCTGTTTTCTGTGGCCTGGTTTACATCGTGCACTTGATACGCGTATCAGGTACTATATTCGTATCAAATTCGTACTATGAACATTTAGTACGCACGATGTAAACGCTGTCAGATTATTTTGGTACACCCACGGTAATTAATTCTGTCCCTCGGAAAATTTCACAAAATAAAAAATGACCACCTTTCTATATTAATTGTCACAATCCATGCACGATTAACGTTACGACTGAACCTTATCGTGCATGAATAGTGACAATTAATATAGAAAGGAGGTCACTTTTCATTTTGTGAAAATTTCCGAGGGACAGAATTAATTACCGTGGATGTACGAGCGTATCAAGCAGGAGTATCGTACTAAACTGATACGCGTATCAAATGATACAAATGGCGATGTAAACGCATGAAACACATTTAATACGCGTACACCCACGGTAATTAATTCTGTCCCTCGGAAAATTTCACAAAATAAAAAATGACCACCTTTCTATATTAATTGTCACAATTCATGCACGATTAACGTTACGACTGAACCAGGAAGTAGTGACCCTCTAATAAGAGTCTGGACACGTGAAGTCCGCCATTATTCGTCGAAATTGTGCGAGAGAGAAAAAATCATGCTATCTCATTCTAGTGGCGCTGTAAGTTGTAGCTGATTGTAGCTCTACAAACTTCATAGTTTCTGTTTCTGTTTCGTCTCGCCCTTAGAACATATAGTACTATATGTTCTAATGTAGGATTCACACTGCGTCCGACATCCGACATACGACGTCCGATAGGAGAGCTTATTTTCTTGATGTATAGCTAACAATATTTTGTAACAAGCTCTGCTATTGGATATCGTACCGTCGTATTTCGGATGTCGTACGCAGTGTGAATCCTACATATGGTCTCGCTTCATGCATCGTATCATTTTTAAGACCAGGACCATTAATATTCGAAGAAGAAGAAGAATCATTATGATTAATATTATTATATTATTACATTATATATTATTATTATATTATATTATTATTATATTATTATTATA